CCGCGTACGAGCGCCTCAAAGTTTTGGCGGGAAAATCGCTAACTCGAGAACCAGAAAAGCTAGAAGCTGAAATTTTGGGATTATGTTTCCAGCCCAAATAGAGCTCAAAGATTTCAAATTCAACCCCCGGGGGTTCGTGGTTCCCGCGTACGGCCTCCTGAGGGTTCCTGGCGCGAAAATCGTTAGCTCGGGAACCAAGAAAGCTGGGAGGCTGAAAGTTTCAGGAAATGTTCCCTACGCATCTACAACTTCAGTTTGTCAAATTCAGCCCTCCATCATGCGTGGTTGCCACGTACGGCCCCGTGAAAGTTCTTGGCGGGAAATGAATAATTCCAGAACCAGGAAAGCTGGGAGGCAGAAATCTTCAGGAAATGCTCCCAACTCATCTACGACTTCAAGTTATCAAATTCAGCCTCCAGTGTGCGTGGCTGCCACGTACGGCCCCGTGAAAGTTTTTGGCGGGAAAATGAATAACTCCAGAACCAGGGAAGCTGGGAGGCTGAAACGTTCAGGAAATGTTCTCAACTCATCTACAACTTGATTTTATCAAATTCAGCTCCCCGTTATGCGTGGTGGCTACGCACGGCCCCGTGAAATTTTTTAGCTGCAATTTCGGTAACTCGGAAACTGAGAAAGCTGGGAACCTGGGATTTCAAGGGAATGTTCCCTGTCCAACTACAGCATGGATAATTAAGTTCCCGAAATTCGAGGACCAGTGTTTACAAGAGGTTTTAGCTAAGCGGAATTTCGAGTAATCTTATTACAGCACGAAACACTGCAAAAACGCATGATCGCACGGGGCCCCCAGTGCGCGTCGCCAATGAGTTTTCTTGTAGTTGCCGAGTTTCGTTAAAGGAAAACAGCGAGCCAGGTGAATACTCTAAGCCAGGACGTGACTAGGCCTCGTTTCGAACAAAGGGGCATCGTAGTAGGTCAAGGGCAGATTAGAAGGTAGGGCACAGATAGAACAGTGACAGATATATTAAGGGATGTAGATCAACCCAGGCTGGAACGCACCAGGCGGGGCGGTGCGATTATGCGTTTCAGTACTTTTCGTGCCGTAGCAAGATCACAAGGAATCACAGCAGCTAATCTTGTGACATACTGGCCCTCGAAGTTCGGGAAGTTAATTGTGCGGCTATGTGGTATGTCAGTTGTAGATGTCGACTTCAGTGACACGACAAATGGAAAGTTGCTGGTCCGCAAAAAAGCCGCAATAGAAGACATCTACAGAAGAGTTAAATTTGAAATCTTTTAGCCACACATGAGTAGGGAACATTCCTTTAAAATTAAAGCCTTCAGCTTTTCCCATTCTCGAGTTAGCAGTTTTCCCGTCAAAATTTTTACGTGTCCGCACGTGAGTACCAGGCGGTTTTAAGGAGCTGAATTTGAAATCTTTTGGTCATACGTGAGTAGGGAACATTACGCTAAACTTTCAGCTTTCTAGCTTTTTTCGTTCCCGAGCTAGTGATTTTCGCGCTAAAATTTCTATGTATGTGAACCCCAGGCGCTTCTAAGTAGCTGATTTTGGCCGCATATGAGTAGGAAACATCTCCCTAAAGTTTCAGCCTTCTAGCTTTTTCCGTCCTCAGATTAGTAATTTTCGCGCCATAATTTCAATGCGCTATGTGGGTTCCGGGTGCTTCTCAGCTTATTTTGCTCGTGCGTGAGAAGGGAGCATTTTCGTAAAATTTCAGCTCTCCAGCTTTTTTCGTTCCCGAGTTATCAGTTTTCCCGCCAAAACTCTCACGTGCTCGACACGGGGCCCAGACGTGTTTGAGAGTTGATACCGCGGTCCTGGGGTGGCACTTGGCTGGAGGACACATTGGCAAAATTTCAGCTTCAAAGCTTGCGTGGTTGGT